TTAATAATATTACACGTGGCAATATTTCTCAAAAACTGGCTAATAAAGTCATTGTTGATTCTATAATTGATATAGTTCAGCCAATGTCCTTGGTTGATAATCCCATGATGGTTAAAACTATCCTGGTACAATAATTTTATGCCCCCAGACACTAATGATTAAGATAGCAGATAACTTTGAAGGATGAAAGATGCTCTAATAGCAGAGTTAGAGATATCCTATATATGTACCACGGCAGATATTTGGACACATAAAAGAATGTAAAAACTTATTTATATTTAAAAATTGATCAGATATTAATATTTTTAGAACTTATTTTGGGAATCACAGGCCATTGGCTAGACCCTAAGACTTCAAGAAGAAGATCTGTAGTAACTTTCAAAAGGATATTTGTACTTGAAAATAAAATTAATGATTCATTCCAATTTTAAACTAAACTGGCCATATATAAATTCCGATGATGCTAAAGATCAGCTTGCTAGGCTCGTAATTAAGCTAAATAGCCTCATATCAACAAAGATGCTCTAGTTGCAACCACAAAAACGACTTCCAGATAAAAAAAATTTAAAATAAAGGATGCTATCCCCCAAATGAGTATTTTTGATAATTTTTGGTAAATTAAAAATGTTAATAAAATTAAATACTGTCTTGCAGTGTTGAGAGCTTATTAAGTAAAGCGAAACTTATACTTTCTGATCATCGCTTTAGACTTGGGGACGATAGTATAGAAATGATTTTATTATTAAAATGCTGCAAAATAAATAAAAAATGAATAAAATAGTTAATTTTATTTCATAAATTTGTTACATAAATTTTTTTTAAATCAAAACTAATTATATTTAAATATTTATAAATGTTGATTTTTATGTATTATACTCATTATAAGAAAAAAATAAAACAAATGTATTTCTAAAGTTTTTTTTACAAAAAGTAGCCAAAGCAAGCTACTGTTGTGTTTGAAAGAAAACACGTTGTTTTTGTTTGTCATTAATTATCACTTTTGTTTTTGTGTATATCATTTGTTCTGTACATTTTCTTTTACACGTCATTGCAATTTACAAAACCTTCTTATGAAATTTTCTTCACTTGAAACTAAACCAAGCCAGATTTATGGATGACCAATATGTATAAAATCTTTTATAATAATACTTCTTTCGAAGTCTCCCCACATTGTTTTTGAAATTTATTATCCCCATTGTTTGTATATCTATCATTGTTCTTTACATTATTTTCTATACGACATAACAATTTATATACCCTTGTATTGATATTTTCTTCAATTGAAACTGGTCCAAGCCAGATTTAAGGATGGCCAATATATATAAAATCTTAATAATACTTTATAGTTATTTCTTTTATGACAAGAACAAAAGTTGTTGTCAACCGACTTTTAGTATATAATAGATGAAAATTATAGAATCATGATCATTAATTAATTTTTTTTTTGATAATCCAAGACGAGAAAATTTAAATTTTATATCATTGAAATTAATTCTCTTTTTTTTTGATTTAATCGATGAAAATTCTTAATTTAATAAATTCTTAATTTTTCTATATCGACTCTAAAGAAAAATATTTTATATACTTTATTTAATACGACCGTAATGACCCGCGATTAGGTAAGTTTAAATATGCTCTAATCCGGCGGTGTGGCGTATGCCGTCCTTTTTATTTATTTATTAACTTTTAGGACTTAAAACCATTCTAATCGAGCGGTGCGACGAATGCCGTTCCTACCTTTTTCTTTTTTAGTTTACTAACTTTTTAAATCCGCCCTATTCCCGCGGTACGACGAATACCATTCGATTTTTCAATTTAATTAACTGAGGACTTAAATCCGCCCTAATCCAGCGGTAAGGGTTGCCAACACAGTTATGTAACGATCCATTAAGGGACTGCGGTCGCCTTACAATAAAGTGCCGATGGTACTGACTTTTTATGTTTTTTTTGTAGTGTATAGTACGATGACTAAGATGCCCGCGAAATCTTGTCCCCCTGTCCAAAAACCCCGGATCATCGAACTCAGTCGATCGCCCCCCCCTCCCCTACGATAGAACTGCCTACGGTCACTGTCTCATATATTTCCGCTACTTTTATTTTGATGGGTAGCGATAATGGTAGCGCGCTACCTTTTTTTTATAAATAGCGATAGCGCGTTACTTGTAAAAGTAGGGTTTAACAACTCTGGAAATTTGTTTTTATCAAGGGTTTTATATTTTAATAATTGAATACAATAGAATGGAACGTTCCAAGAACGGAACTTTAAGAAACTTTATGAAACAGAACGTGTATTCCGGAACCTACGCAGAATGGTCCTAAAAATATACATAAATTTCTTATTTATAATAACACCAATAAGAACCTATTTAAATGATAATCTTTTAGAAAATATATTATTGCTTCGATATAATAGATTCTTTTAATGTAAAATAAAATTAATTAAAATGTGTTAGATATTTTTCTAGGAACATTCCGAAAGCTAGAACAGAACCGGAACAATTTTTATTAAATAATTAATTTTTATATGATATATAGAAGTTTTTCTATATTAAAAATTAGTAAGGGCTTTTTTTAAAAAAAAATTCTTTTATGCACTTAAAACTACTAATTTTAATGGCTAATACTGTGTTTAAAAATATATGGTATTTAAAAATTTATTCATAGTTTTGAACGACCATGAACGCATTCCTTTTTTTTTGAAGTTGAACGTGTTTGATATTTTAGAAATGTTTAGAGCACTACATAAAGTAAGGTCGTTACCTTTTTTGAAGAATAGGATAGCCATTCGTTACCTTTTTCTAGAGGTAACGCGTTTTTTTTTTCGAGTAATTGTAACGAAAAAAATTACTCGTTACTTCAAATTTTTATTAAAAAATATGGGAAAAACATTTTTTTTATGTATTATAAAATTACTTTATTTATTTTTTAAATTTTATAAATAACTTAGCTGAGTTATTAAGCCATTGTTAAATTTTCAGTCAAGATTGTTAATCTAATTAATATTGAATCATTCAATGTATGTAAATTTATCTTATTAATATTATAATATATTTTATAAAGAATATTGTCAATTGTAAATTTTCTTTAGATGAAGATGAGTAAAGCCTGCCTTGGCTTTAATATGAAACATTTTTACACTAATAAAGAAAACTAAGGGTACAAAGTTTTCACTTTGTAAGTGTAAATTGTCTCAACTCAAATATTTTAACTTCAATTGTGGAATAAACATCCTCCAAATTGTACATCCATTTTTATGGAGAAAATGGGATATCTGATTAAACTGGTTATAACAAGATGGAACTCGTTCTATAACTCGGTAAAATTAATATAGTCTTGAGGAGATGAAACAGAGAACATTGCTATAAAGGAATGACAGATCGGCAATTTAAGCTGCATATATTTGGGCTCCACTATACAAACAAACGGCACAATCGAGAAGAGTTAAAGAGTAAAATTAATCAAGGGTGGTTAAAGTGGAGATCTTTATCTGGAGTGCTCTTTCACAAATGAATCCCAGATATTGAAGGGAAAAATTTACAGTTCAATAGTACAACTAACTATTCTATATAGTTCGGAAACATGGGCAACCAAATAATCAGACGAGAGAAGTCAACAAACTATGGAGATGAGTATGCTGAGGATGATTGCCGGGGTATCAAGAAAGGATAAGGTGCGAAGTACAAGAATACTAGGAAGTTTAAAGGTAGTGCCTATTAAGACTAGGATAATGGGGAACAGACTTTGGTGGTATGGGCAAACATTGAGAAGGCCTATGAACTACATAGGAAATAAGGTTGAGAGTTTGGAAGTGATGGGCAAATGTAAAAGAGGAAGGCCAAAACTTCAATGGGGCCATAAAGTTAGAGCCAATATGAAGAAGTATAAATTAGATAAAAGAGATAGTATGAATAACATAAAGTGAAGAGAGATATTGAAGGAGCTTACCATCAGAAAAGGTCAAAGCTAAAGAGAAAAAAATAATTAAGGAGAATGATCACAAATTTGACGAATCTTGTGATAAATCCAAATTACAGAGATTTTCACATAATGACAAGTTGTTTATAGATGAATATTGTATGGCAGGGACGAAGCGTCCATAGAAGCAAGGGAAGCATTGCTTCCCTTGAAATTTTTTTTGCAAAATTCTTAGATAAACTTAATATATTCTTTACACTATGCTAAAAAAAAATAAAATTACTTCCTTAAAATAATTAATATATTTTTTATAACGTTAAAAAGATTTATAATATTTAACTTAGATAAAAAATTTACGTTAAAAAATTTACTATTATTTTTACTACGTTCAAAAATTTACTATTATTTTTACTACGTAAAAAAATTTACTATTATATTTACTATGTAAAAAAATGATGGAAGCAAATTTAATATTGCTTATTTTCCTATAATAAATATACTAATAAATCATGATTCATACGATATTTTTTTGGTGTAATTTTTTTATTACGTTAAAAAAAATATACAAGAGGGAAGCAAATCTAATATTGCTTATTTTTTCAATAAATAAATAGAATTGTTTAATTTTACGATTAAAAAATAAGCATTGGGGAAGCAAATAAAAAATTGCTTATTCTTTTATAAAAGAAAAATAAATTTTTTATATTATTTTTTCTTACTTTTTTTAAAAAAAATTTTTTTTCTTTAAATTAATGTTTAATAATTGTAATTGTATTATTGAAAATTTATTAATATTATCATTTAGCTCAAGAAATTTTGATACCAAAAAATTAATTATTGAAAAAGGAAGACCAAAGCCAATTTTAAGAAATTTAAAAAAAGAAACAAAATCTTGCATTCGTAATTTTTCTATCGATAAATATGAATGGCTCACTGGATGTGAATTTTCTAATTCTCTATATTGTTGGTCATGCTTATTATTCCCAAAGGAAAAATATATTTGGAATGATAGAGGATTTTCGGATATGAATAATTTTTAAAAGGCAGTTAAACGACATGAAGAATCAACAGCTCATTTGCAGTCGATGATTCAATTAAAAACATTTGGCGAAATTCGTATTGAAAATATGATAGATTTGATGCGCAAAATATTAATCGAACAGCATAATTCGAAAGTTAAATCAAATAGAGAAATATTGAAAATTTTAATCATTTCTATATGTTTTTTTGGAGTTCAGCAGCTCGCATTCCGTTGTGATGATGAATCACCTAATTCAGTAAATAGAGGAAATTATATTGAATTAATTTATTTGCTCGCGGAAGAAAATTTGCTATTAAAACATCATTTAGAAAATAGTACAACTTTTATTGGACTATCAAGTGATATCCAAAATGATTTAATTTATTCCATTTCACATGTCTTACACCAAAAAATATTAGATGAATTGGAAGAAACGGAATTTATAACAATAATATTAGATGAAACAATTGATATAAATAATAAATCCCAACTGGCTGTAGTTCTTCGATATGTTTTAAATAACGGGACATTATGTGAAAGATTTATTGAATTCTTTGATGTTACAATGCATCGTGATGCTAATTCTTTATCAAAATTTGTCATTAAATTTTTGAATGATAAGAAAATTATGAAAAAATTGATAGGTCAAAGTTACGATGGCGCAGCTGTTATGTCAGGTGATTCACATGGATTGCAAGCAAAAATTAGAGACGTCAATCCTTCTGCACTTTATATTCATTGTTTTGCCCACAAGTTAAATCTTATATTATCAAAATCTTGCAGCAAATTTAAAGAATGTAAGGTTTTTTTTGCAACTTTATCTTGTTTAGCCAGTTTTTTTAGTACATCATCTAAGCGTACAGCAGAATTTGATAAATATGTTAAAAAAAGATTACCACGAGTAGCCCCAACAAGATGGGAATACAATGATCGGCTGGTTCAAACAGTTTTCAATTATTTGAAGGATCTAGTCGTTTTTTTTGAAAGTATGATTGATGAAGAATCTGATATTGTTTGGGATAATGATGTTCTAATAACATCTCGTGGCTATTTAAATATATTAAATGATGCAAATTTTCTAATTTTGTTATATTTTCTTCAAGAAGTTTTTCCAGAATCTGATTTATTATTTGATATACTTCAAACTAAAATTAACGATGTATCATATTGTCTTAAAAGTATTAACGATTTCAGAAATTCAGTTTAATCTAACGTAGAAAACTTTGATGTTTTTTGGAGAAATTTAAATGTAAAGGAAAATATTGAAGACAATTTAGATAAAAAATGTAATAGATCCGGATTGCCTAATACAAGAGAATTTTATAAAAATTTGATAATTAAAATAATAGATACTATAATAGTGTTTCGTGACGATGAATTTAGAAAGAGAAAAAATGTTTATGAAATACTTGAATTTTTAATTAATACCGATTTGATGAAAAGTTTTAAGGAGTTTTTTAAATTATGCAAATTCATTTTAACTTTGGCTGCAACAACAGCAAGTGCAGAACGGGGGTTTTCATCTTTAAAAACAATCAAATCTTATTGTAGAAACAGAATGAGTCAAAATCGATTATCGAATCTAGCTTTGATTTCTATTGGAAAAAAATTATTGAAAAATTTAAAATCTAGTAATAACTTTTATAATTCAGTACTTGATCATTTTACTCAAAAACAAAGACGAATTCCGCTTATTTATAAATCTTAATTTTTTATGGTTTGACTAATAAATAAAATAAAAAAAATTTTTATTGCTTCCCTAGTAGTAAACTTGACGCCTCGTTACTGTTGTATGGCTATATATATATATATGATTTTATAAGTTATAGAATCTGTTCCTACAGCTCTTTCGATTTTAGAGAGAGAAAAAAATATATATTTGGGAAATCTAACTCCCACAATACAAGTCTGCAAGACAAAGATAAAAGGTATACAGTTGAAGTATTGTTGACAATTTATATATCAGCAATAATTCACCTGCTATTTAAATCAGATTGGCCCTCGTAAAACTAGATGTCAGCGAAGGAAGGAAACTTGAACTTATTTACTGTTTAAGAAAAGATAATGACAAAAAAAGGTAGAATTGATTCCTTTAAAAACAACACACGTACAGATTATTTTCTAATAAAGATAGTAAAAATATTGGTGAGGATCTAATGAAGATCCATTTGTCGCTGAATTAAGTTTTTTTCAAAATAAAGATTATTCTTTAATTTTTAATAGATTCCCCCAATTAAAATTTTTATTTATCCAATATAATACAACCCTCTCATCCTCTTAGCCAGTTGAACGAGTGTTTAGCATTAGCACTCTTGTTCATCTGATAAAAATGTTAAAAATAAATAAAAAATTATTATAAGATGTTGCATTATATATGATTTTTTGCAATATAGGTAGAAAATTTTTTTTTGTATATAATATTTAATTTTTAAGTAACGAGTAACCCGTTACTTTTTTGAATAGCAAGTAACACGCATTCCTATTTGCACAAGGTAACGAGTAACGGCTCTTCTTTTTTGAAGTAACGTTTACAGCACTAAAAAATATTTGATTTCATCTAGACATGTGCGCCGACAGCATTATCGGCGGCGGAGTTTCTTTTTTTTAAACGATCGACTGGCGGCGTCGGGCGTCCAATATTTTTCTAACTTAAATTTTTTAAGTAAAATTATAAATTCATTGAGAGTTCAGAGTAAGCCCAGGTATGTGCTCTTAGCTGGAACGCACAGGATCTTTCTAACTAATATTAAAAGTTTAGGAAGATCCAATGCTCTTATCTTTCAAAAATCTAAGTTATCTTTTACTCTTAATTATATGGCGAATATAATGAATAACACTCTCTTTCTAGACTCGTTAAATAGTCTTGTTATTTCAGATTATTGTTATCAATAGATGAATGTTTCGTAGCCAATGACCTAAGATAATCGAATTCTGAAGCAACATCCGTCGTTTCACATTCGGTTAAGTGTCCATGTAAGGCAAGAGAGATAGCGTGTTGGCATAAAAATTGTACCGGAGTAATATATTTTTTTTAATATTTATTTACTATGTTTATAGATTGAAAACGAGGATCCAAAAATACTCCTAAGCCGAACACCTAAGTAAAAAAATAAAACAAAGAGAAATAATATTTAAAAAAAACTAATTTGTGTATTTTAAAATAATTGGAAATCTATGATCAAATTTAGTAAGCATATTTTGTTTAAGGGATGCTATGGGAGGACTATCATATTCTTTTACAATTAAATGACTTTTAATTTCACTACAAAATAATAAGGAAAAATTTATAGAATTCCTTTTTGGATGGATAAAAATTTACAATTTTTTTGAAGGTTTTAAGAAATTTTAAAAGTTCATGCATCAAGTACCAATCGGAGTTAAATAATTTGAGACCCGGTTTTTCCATTCTATTTAATAGAATATTTATAAGATTTTTGTTATTGCCACTCACATTTTTCAGCACTATTAAAATACTATGCCAACATGTAGGCACATTTAATTTAAGGTTTTACGTATTTTCTCATAAGATTTGCACTATCATCATCAACCCCCAACGATCTTGATAGAAAGGATCATTATCATCCAAATCTAAAATATCCAATGTAAATGATATCGATTCAAAACATTTCCTATTTTTGATATCGTTTATATTTTCAAAATCCTCTGTTTTGAATCTTAAAGGCAACTGTAATTTCTCTCACTTTTTTAATGAGATTTTCTATTTGATCAACTTTTTTTATTCAATCGACTGTCACTAGAATATGTAATCCATGCCCCAAACATAAATGATGGTCATATTCTCCTAGACGAGCACTTTTCTTTACATTTGCATCCGTAACCATTTGAATTTTCTTGGACCCTAAACAGCGTCTACATTAGCGGGAAGGGTAGGAACAGTTCGCATCCTATTTTTTTTAAGGGGAGTAGGCTGCTTTAATGGGGTAGGATAAATTTTTTTGGGGGTTATCTATTAAATTATGAGATGAAATAGGACAAAATTTATTACTGTAAAAATTAAAACTTTTATTATAGAATTATTATAATACAATTATCGACCAAATCTATATATTGCAAACAATCATACACATTGTTTTCCAAATAAAACTTTCTGCTATCCTTTTAAATCTAATTTAAAAGGTTTAGATATATCAGCAAGCTCATAATGTCATAATAATTAATTCATTGTAAATAATGGAGGTTTTAATTGAATTTATTATCTAAAAAATAAATTCTCTATATTCACAAAATATCGATAGTTGGTAGTAGAGATAGATTAATTTAAGTTATCCTTATAAATTCTCTGAAAAGAGTATCAATATAATTATAAAGGTGAAAATAATAATAAAGAGACATAGCCGCCGAAGGTGTCGGGATTTTTTAGGGGGGGGGGGGGGGTAGGCAAAGGTTTTTGAAGGGGGTTTGCACCCAGTGAAAATCAAAATCCTGTCATGTAGACGCTGACCCTATATCAAATTCATTTTCAACTTTTTCTATCTCGGAAAGAATAGTTTTAGCGGTATGTTTTTGAGTGAGATGATGTGTCGCCAATGTATAAAATACAATATTAAAATTATTATCTATTTCGTGAAATGTAAAGGTAATATAATTTCGCCGTCTATATTTGTCTGTTCACATATCAAAAGTTATAGCGAATTTCGGATCTAATTTGTTGACATATGTATGCTTGATTAATACAGATCATCTAATCCACTCCGGCTTGTTGTTCTATCTGGTATATCTTTTTATCTGAAATAATACCATATATCTACATAATAGGTTAATAATAAAAACATTATGCCTTAAGAAATTCTAAATGTGGGATGAGATCAGTCATTGAAATATTCTTTTATAAAATAATTAGTTTTAACAGTTAAAATAAAAATTAAGATTGCTCTATAAAAAATTAAAATGATTTACAAATAACCTTTAGAAAATATTGCATTCCATTGTTATTTATAGAAGAGAATGGCATTAAATCCTTGCAACACATGATAACATAATTTCTTACCAGAATCCACTTTTATCTTTTATATTATCAGTTGTATCTTTTATAACAGGTTTGAAAAATAATTTTAAATTTTATTTAGATATTTCTTCTTTACATAAGTAATGTAAATGTTTTATTATGTTTGATGTGCTGATATTTTTTGAAAAAGATTTGATTGGATAACTAATTAAAAAAATTCACAAATATTTTTAAAATAATCAAAAAATTTACTCTGAAGATTAATAATTATTTTCATCCTTACCTACTTTATCAAGTGCTATTTGCAATAGTGTTAACAAACTACCTAACTTTAGTCAACTATAAAACAGGGTAGCCATATTTTTAACCAAAAATATTAGAAATTTTCAAGTTGAGACTCAACTTAAAAGCTTAATTCAATTTTTAGACTAAAAGCTTGACTAAACCACAATAGTGGTCAAAGTTAAGTAATTTAACAACACTAATTTGCAACATATATTAGAAAAGATTTTATCTGCAGCAACTGGTTCTCTTATTTGTGTCAGTTTTTAATATTAAGAATCCAAAATGTTTCCATGCAAAAGAAGGTTTTGCTTGCAATTATATACTCTATTTTGTTACAGGGTATTGCAATGCTGCATCCATTATAATTGTTTTAGTCCTGCTATGCTATATGTTATAATGGCAATAAAATAAAAAACATTAATTAAAATTTCCTTTTATGATAAAAAAATAAATTTTATATGATGAGTTGTAGATTGCATTAAGAAAATATTGTATTAATCCTTATATAATAATTGATGGTCTTATACAAAATATTTGAAGCATCAAAAATTAAAAGAATAAAATATATAATAATTCAATACCTTTGTAAATTACTCGCCTTATCTTATCTTATCTAGCACGTTGGTCCCATATGGATTGTTACAAATCAAATGTTTTTATAGCAAATAAAATTTAATAATTTTAAAAAATAAAATCGCATTATTTAAGAATTCAAAAAATATTTAATATTATTTTTCTTCTAATTACAATTCATAAATAATATAAAAAATAAATATTATTTTTAATAATAAAAAGTATTTATCACGTCGCCCCACGCCGCCAAATTTTTACATCGGCGGCGGCGTGTTGAGCATCTACAATTTTGGGCGGCGGCGTCGGCGTGTTCAAAAATCAATGGTGCGGGGTATTTGACCGGTGGCGCACATGTCTAATTACATCAAAAATATTTTTTAATGATTGATACTGATAGTCTTAAGCCTTACAAAGGGTTTCCCAATAAAGTTAATTGTAATAATTATTTATTTGGTCCTAAAGATTTTGTTCGTTTTAAATATACTATAATAATAATAATAAATAAAACATCAATACATAAAAAAAAGAATACTTATGAGACATACATTAATTTTGATAATATATTATTTATAATAATAATAAAAATATTAGCATAACTATAGTTAGGTTAAATTATTATAATTATATCATAACTCAATGATGTACAAGCATGATTACAATTAGGTATACATTGAAATAATCACAATTTTTTTTAAAAAAATATCAATAAATTTATTGTCTAGATATAAAAAAAATTAAATTGGATTTATTCTTCATCTTCCCCCAAACCTCTCCTAACTTGGGTAAAATCAAAAGGATGTCCAATGACCCTCTTATAAATATCCAAAACATCATCGCATGTCGTCTCAAAATGGCTGGTAGCGTCGTAACTCTTAGATATGTACATCTTTTGGAAAATGTTTAAAATATCATTATAAAACTCATTTGAAATATATTTTTTTTGTTTTAACATTGGTATAAATTTCAGAATAACTAAATAAAGATTGGTAATATCTTTTATCGATATACAAGCCAATGAATGATTAGGTAAATACTGCTAAAATAAATTTTAATTAAAAAATATTCTCAAAGTATTAAGGTAATTTTATACAATTATAGTAGGCCTACAAATAATTATTGGTATTTTTCGAATATGAATAACAAAATTATTCGAATCGAATATAAAATGAATGAATTAAAATTATTTGTATTATATTCGAACAGAAAAAAAATTTATTCGTACTAATTGAAAAATTTCAAATTACTTCATTCATATACAAATTTTATAGCCTCAAGGTTCGGTTTGTAAAAAATAAAAATATGGGTTCGGTTCAAATCTTTAAAAACCGGTTTGAACACTTTTGTATTCAAACCTATATTCAAATTATGTAGAGGGAAGAAAAATTTTTTTATTTCATCATTAAAATAAAAAACACATATATGAAAGCTTCATTTTTTATTAATTGCAGATTATAATAGAATATTTAATTTATAAATATAACAAATAAACATCAATGATTAATTTTAATATGAACACAATATTTAACTTTACTTACTTAAATTTATTTATTAAGCCGCACAAATAATATATTTTTAAGATTCGTCTCACTCAAATCATATTATAAGGAGATACTATAAATTTAATTGTTGAAAAACATCTTTCCACACTAACTTGGGTAGCCGGCACTGCCATTATGATATCAGACAATTTACATAATTCTGGGTATCGATTACTCTGATTCCTCCAATAGTCGAATATATTCATATTTTTATTCAAGGTTCTTTAGAAAAATTAACTAAAATATTTCTAATATTCTCCGAATTTTTTATTTGTTACCATCTTTTTTTTAAAGAAGACTTTCTACTAAAGCCTCTTCAGATGAAGATACATATATTAAAAAATATTAAGACTACTATAATAAAAAATTATATATATAATATTTAAACTTATATATATATAAATATTCAATTATGTCCGAGTTTATCAATAAACCAGACAAATTTTGATATTACAATCCATCTCAAGGAATGCCATTTTTACTTTAACCCTTTAAAGCTCGACTTTTTAAAATAAAACTAAAAAAAAATTTTTATAAAAAATCTTCATTTATATACACCAAGGATGTAAAATTTTTATTTCGACTTTTGTTTCATAGTATACAGGTAAAAAAAAATCATGATACAATTTGGCATCATTGAGCGAAATGCATGTTTATAAAAAAATATTTATTTATATATTATGAAAAATTTTTTTAAATTTATTTCCTAGTTATAGCATAAATTTTTCCACACATAGTCCTTAAATATGCGATAACACATAATTTACACCTTTTTCGAGTCTTAGAAACTTCAATGCCCTAAATTATCATATCTAACGTCAGTTATTATCTGAGGTAACTTAGATCCTTTTTGTATTTTAGGATTTTCATTTGATGGTCTCCCTATTTTTCTTTTACTAATACCTGCCATTAACAAGGCAGGAACTATTTGAGATTTAAATGTTATAAGTTTTATAAAAGATTTTTCATTTTTTTGAAGTAATGTCTTCGATACAATAACCATGCATTCACAATGCAGGTATCTATCAAATGAAATATTATTCGAAGTGATATGGTGTTGGAATATTATTTGGGGGATTAGAAAATTTTTTAGAAAATGTTGTATCAAATGATTCAATATTTTTTAATACACAATTACTACTGAGATTAGGAAAACTAGGACATTCATGAACATATTCATGAACATTATCAAGTTCTATGTGGAGTGCATTTATGGGCGAATCTATATCTATATTGTCAATAGGATGATTAAAATTATCCTCACTATTATCAATATCTGTTTCCGAAATATCACCTTCAATTATAATTATTTTATTTGACATCTATAAAAAATAAAATTTATTCAATGTTAATAAAATAACTTTGAGTTAATTGGCATCATAATTTTAAAATTATATTTACAAAAATAATTAAAATTCTAAAAAAATATAAAGTCATGATGACATATTTGAATATTTTGTCTTCTTTATAAAATAAACAGTTTTCAAAGTTTTTCAATTAAAATATATTTAAATAATATGTAAAATCAAGTAATTCAGAAAAAATCGAAACGGAAATATAGTCAAAATTTACATGATAATAAAATAAAAACAAAAGCATATTTTTTTTTATTATTGATAAAATACGATTGAATACATTTGTATATTTATTTTAAAATGTTAAATTAAATCATTGAGTAATTTTAAAGGTTAAAAAATAACATTAAATAGGATGATGTCAAATAGCTCACAGGACTTTAAAGGGTTAAAGGGAATTGGTTAATTTTATTTCATTACATTAATTTTAAAAATTTATTTTAGATTAATATTAATAGTGATGAAGAGGAAGAAGTATCAATCAAGTTCAGACATGGTTTTTCCATGGACAATTTATAGAGCATATTTTAAAATAATATCAAGGAAAACAAATCTTATAGTAAGCCATGTCTACCAAAAAATAAGCATTACCTCAACTTGCAACATTTTAAAAATTTTTAGGGTATAGATACTAAATAAATGTTTACAATTGTAATTTTAAATTTTAAGAGCAAACATCAAACACTTGTTAATAAAAATAAAAAAGGGGAAGAAGAATAAATCTATTAAAGAAAATATTGGACTAGGCTCATCGTCCACCAATATTTTTGCCAAGAGACCTAAGATTTTAACCTAAACCACTTTAGATGATTTAATAACTGCTTTTATTATAGCTGGGCATTCAGCCATTTTTATTGAAAATTCTCCGTTTATAAAAATGAACAAAACCTTAGCTCCCTAAAAATATATAATTTGCCGACAGACAGTGGTTGGTAGAATTTCCCCAAAGATGGGAAAATAAAAAGAAAGAAATCTACTAGAACCTGCTAATATGCACAATAGCAGATTGTTGGAGTGTCAATCGTCGGTATAGCTAACATTTAAATTTGTATAATTAATTAAGAACAAATTATATGAGCAGTTTTAAGAAATGTTATTTTAAGTTCATACATAGAAGTCACTGCACACTATATAGATTCAACAAGTTTGGAAAGAAAAAATATAGCGTTGGCTTGTAAAAGCATGGGTAGTCATACATATGATAAAATAGCAAAGAATTTACAAGATACAAAGGATTATTGCATTCAAAATAAAATCTCAAAGATCATTACTGACAATGCCAAAAATTTTCTCAAAGCTCTATTTTAATTATAATATTTTATCATTAGATATATTGCACACGGTCAAAATATATGGAATAGACAAAATAAATCTCCAATTTCATCTGAGATTATTTTAAAAAATATTGGCTGTTATTTTATATGTCCTAATATAACCCAATGGAACTCCATATATAATGCTTTGAAATTAATGTAAGAAATTATTAAAGCTAAATCTGACAAATTGGACATGATATGTGATGGAATAAAACTGCCTAGGTATTTATCTAATGAATGTGATTTTATTCATGAATATTGTTTAGTAAGTTAGAAATAAAATTTATATATATAGTATTATTTTAAATTAGCTAATGAAGTCAGTAGCTAGTTCTCTTGATATTTTGCAGGGAGATAAATATATGTACACAGCTTATTATTTTGCAACCATTTCACAGCTGATTATCAAATTGAAGAATTTTAAACAAATGAAAATGAGATTTTGCTTACCACTCCTAATGCCTTACTTAAAGGGATTGAAGATAGGTAAATTAATCAATATTTAATAATTCTATGTTTATTGGTACAATATTTGAAGATAAAAATATTATAGCAACTATGCTCCTTGAACATGGATACAAATGGATTAAAATTTAATAAAAAAAACAATTAATACAAAGATTAGTTGATGAATTATTAAGGTTTTAAACTGATTGCAAACAAATAACCTGTGAAAAAAAACAAATAATTTAATATCCGATTTTTTTCAGTACTCCAATTGTTAATAATGAATTAAATTTTGATAATCAACAAATTTTAAATAATTTTTTCAAAAATGAATGTCGAGATTTTAGTATTTTTAAAGATTATTCTGATATAAAATTGTTATTCATAAAATATAACACCACAATCCCTTCAAGCGCCCAGGTAGAAAAACTTTTTATTGTAGTTAAAAATGTCTTTAAAGATACACGAGTATGCCTTAATGACCAAAATTTTGAAATTTTATTACTGAAATCTAATAGTTATTTATAATCATTGATAGAGTTAATAAATTTTTTAGCTCATTACATAAATTTTCAATAGAACTCTAATTTAGGTTTATGCATACCTTATATAAGAGTATAATAAAAATTGTATCTGAATCTAGATAATTTTTTAGACAATGTATAGGTATCTAGATCCATTTAAAAAGTATCTTTTAACAACTCTGCTAATAATAACCTGATCCTGGGTTCCATCACTCAAAGGCACATACTGGGGCGATACGGCCATAAATTTGGTCTCGATAGGTCCCATTAGGTTGAGGCCGGCCACTATCTCGGATTCTGGGTGTGAAGGCGGACCTTGAGATGGAGAGGTCTCTGCTTGGGTACTAACCATGGCTATGTACCAACCCGAAGAGGCAACGTGGTGAGCGAATGAGGTGCATGAGATGTACACATCTATTTTAGGTAATATGAAATAATAACTAGTGTTCTGTCTCTTAATTTTTTAGCATATCATTTTTATGTGACTTTTAGTACCAAATAACTTATAGAAATAATTTACAATTTATGTTGAATATAATTTCTTGTATTTAAATTATTTATAAAAAAAATGATAATTAAGCTTTTGTTTATATATACAAAATGATTAAATAATTATTCACGAATTAAAAGATAAACTTTTTTTAGATTGAAATATGATATAAAAACAATGAATATAATTAGATACCAAAAATATTAATTAAACCACGTAAATTTAAAAAAAAATTGATCTACAAATTTCTAAACAAATAACAAAAAAGGGTTGATAATTTCCCAATTTCTTTTTATTTTTAAAAATTTTGTTGAAGAACATCATGAAGAATAAATATAAAATAAAAAAATTATGATTACACTACAACTTTTATCAATATTAAAAGCGAGAAATTTTTGCGTTCTCGTTCCGGTCAAAAAATTGTTCCGTCCTAGTTCCATTTCACCTTTCGGAATTCCTTAAATATATATTTTAAATCTACACATTTTAAATAATCTTTATTTAATCATTAAATGAATCAATATATTTATAATAGATTATCATTTATATTGGTTCTTTGTGGTGTCAGTATAAATTTGAGTGTCGAAAAACAACGTTTAACATTTACCAGGCTATATGGAGTTGCTAATACGATTTGGGCCAATTCATATAAGATAGAATTTTTTATTTTATTGGATTCCCAGTATTCTAGCAAATTTTATGATTCTCCAATTTTTTTTCATAGTTGATAGAATATCATTTTTTTTTAAGTTTTGCTATGTTTCTTTTTTATCCATAGACCTTAGTAACCTTTCTAATTCATCATATTCTTGTCTTTCTTCAGAAGATTTATCTGAATTACTTATATTTAGATCTTCATTCTTAAAACTTTTAATGTTCCCGTGTCGCCAATAAAAGATTTATAGCTATATTATTTTTATCTTTTTTCAAAAGGGATTTAAACCTAGATTTTTCTCTTTTGTTAAGAGCTAAAGGGAACTAATTTTTTGAAGATTTATTTTAGATTTGGTCAATTGACCAATAGTCGGGCTCTCTTTTTGGAACATTAAGCTTGCTTCCTTTAGCGGCTCTAATGAGGCGATCATTTTTCTACATTTTTCCAATCTTTATAGGAGAAAAAAAATTTCAGGGTGTACCATTGAAAATAAAAAGAATGGATTAAAAAATTTTTTTTATTAATTTATAGAAATAAATAAGAAATTTATATATAATTTCAGGAACGTTCCGGGAAGGTTCAGAATACACGTTTCGGTTCCGTTCCATGCCCTTGTTTAAAGGTGTTGTGTTTAAAGAAAAAAAGGAATATATTTAATTTAGGACTTAAATCCGCCCTAATCCAGCAATGTGGCGAATGCCGTTCCTTATATTTTTTAGTTAACTAAAGTTTTAAATCCGCACTGATCCTGTAAGGCGGCGTATATTGTACCTTATTTATCAAATTAATTTAAGACTAAAATCTGCCCTAACCCAGCGGTGCGGCGAATAGATTTAATTCAAAACATTTCCATATTTTTTAAGTTTGTAAATAAAATAATTTAACTTGTAAAAATTGATAAGAACTGTTCGCTATTTTTCAATTTAACTTAAGTGGTAAATCCGCACTGACTCTGAGGTGGTTGCCGTCATGGTTATGAAAACGATCAACTAAAGGATGCGATCGCCTTATAATGATTTACCGAGGTTACTACCCCTTTTCTTTTTTTGTAGTGTTGGTACCATGACCAAAATGCCCGTAAAATCTGGTCCCTCTGTCAACCTCTCCGAAAAGCCCGGACCATCGAACTCAATCGATTCCCCCCTCCCCGACGGCTGAACTGCTTATGGTCACTGCTCCAAATATTTTTTAAAAAATTTATGGCTTAAATTAATAAAAGATTATTTTTGGCGAAATCGAAACTTGGGGGAAAAAATCTAATTCAATAACTTAAATTTTTCCAAATATATTTTATAATAAAAAATTGGTATCGGGAAGCGTTAAAAAATATTGTAATCGATTTCTAAAATTGAATAATATTAATTAATAATATAAAGTAGGTATTATTTTTTGATAAACCTTGCCAGTTAAAAGATTAATATAATTGAAAAAAAGGAGAAATAATTTTAATACAAATCAATGTTATACCATATTTCCTCCTAGCTTGAGCAAAGGGTATTATTATTTGACACGAGTCAGAATTTTTGGTATTTGGAATAGGGTGATTTAGTAAGCAAATGCATCTTATTATCTAAAAACAATATACAAAAAAATGATTAAGTAACTTTAGTAATAATGAAAAGTTTGGGTATAGGTTATTTTTAAAAATATCTAGTCTTATAGAAAATTTAAATTTAATACATAAATCTCCAATTTAAACAAAAAATTTTGAGATGAAACAAAAAATACTCACATATCCAACTTTTCTAACAAGGGCGGGAAAATAAGAAGGGTCTCCAATAACATGACGACACCTAGCAATACCTTTGCTCGTTTTGATGCAAATGATATCTCCTTCTTTCGAAACTCGATCAAGATAAGAGTGATTTTGATTGAAGCTTATATTATTGTCATCACCCGTTGTATTAACTAAATCATTTGTTTTGGGGCAAGGGCCTTTAATGATTTCTTGCACGGGCGTGTCTAACATATAGGTTCCGCCATAAACAGCGCTCAATCTTTTAAATATCGTTGTCGAATTTACATTTTAATTATAATTTATTTGTGCAATAATATTAAAATATGCGTTAGTTACCTTATTTATAGTATTTTTGTGATAAGATAATAAAAAACGTTCTTGTTTTTACATATTCTAGTTTGTATGAAAAAGTGGGTAAACAGTTCATAAAGGTTCAAACCGAACCGATATTATTATTTTTACAAACCGAATATTAAACCGCTATTTATTCGTTATTCAGATCCTGACAAAATATAACCAAATTTAAAATAAAACAACATTTTTATCACGCTCTTCGTTTCTTAGTATCGAGGTTATTATGGCCCTTTGAAAAATATAAATAACATGGTCTTTTTCACTCGTAGCGTTAAAGCTACTGCTACTGAAAAAAGTAGAGCGCCACTTTAACAAAATGATCCTTTTCTTCATGTTCAACCTACTATTCTATTAATTTGTAATAGCGTAAGATCCTTAGAATGTTGATGTATTTTAAAAATATTTATTACATAATAAATATTGGGATGAGCCACATTTGTCTTTCTTTTGAGGGCATGATTATACACCTCCAGGTAGTTGTTTGTTCTAGACAAGTAAAAATAATATTTAAATTTTGAAATACCGTGTCCATATATTTTGGAGGAATATAGCATAAACACCGAGTAATATAAAATCTATATACCTCATAAAATTTGTGAGAAGATATTCCACTGATAGCAAGCCATGTGCTAATAATGGCATAGTAGTCATTCGTCTAACAACTTGATAAATTGTAGAATTATGCTAATATCCACTTACTAAACCCAGAGCCTGAGAGTTAAACCACAGAGTCTGGGAGTAGTGAAAAAATAGCCTAAATTTTTTTATTAGAATATAAAATGTGTTATAAATAAATCTTTTATGGCCATATTGGGACTCGTAATCAGTTTCTCCAAATCGAGGGTTATATAGGATATTATTCATTGAGCAAAATTCCAAGATAATGTGAAAAAAATTCAATATATGTCCTATTTTTATCGGGGAGTAGGGCATATATGATAGGCATATTTGTTAAACCCTACTTTTAAAAGTAGCGTGCTACAGCTATCTTTACCCATCAAAAAAAGTTGCGCGCTATTAGCTACTATTCGCAAAAAAAAATTAGAAATAAATTTGTTTTATTTTTTTATTATAATGTAAGTGTATAGTATAATCAACATTTATAAATATTTAAATATAGTTAGTTGTGATTATAAAAAAAATTATGTAAAAACTATAATTTATGAAATAAAAATAACTATGGTAATATTCATTTTTTATTTATTTTGCCGCATTTTAATAATAAAATCATTTCTACTATCATCCCCAAGTCTAGGGCGACGATCAGAAAATATAAGTTTTGCCTTACAAAATAATCTCTCAACACTAGCACTTGAGGGCAAGGCAGTATTTAAAATATAAGAAAAATTATCAAAAATACTCATTTGAGTATTTTCAGATTTAAAAAACGTGTATAGGGGATTTTCTATTATATTAGTATCCTTTATTTTAAAAAAAACTATAAGTGGAAGTAGTTTTGAGACTATTCAGATTAATCACGAGCCTATTACAATCGGAATTGATATAAGGTCAGCTTAGTTTAAAATTGGAATAAATCATAAATTTCATTTGCAAGTACAATTATGCTTTTGAGGGCTAATGGTACAGATCTTATTTTTCAAGTCCTGGGCTCTAGCCAATGGTCTGTGATTCCCAAATAAGCCTTAAAAACATTAATATCAGATCAATTTATATATTTGAATAAGTTTTTACTTTCTGCTGTGTCCAAACAACTGTCGTGGTACATATATAGAACAGCTCTGACAACTCTGCTATTAGAGCATCTTTCATCCTTGAAAGTTATCTGCTATCTTAATCATAAATATCTGGTGGCATAAAATTGTTGTACCAAGGGATAGTTTAAATCATCAGGGTAAATGATTGATTATCAACCAAAGACGTTATCTGAACTGTATCAATTATAAAATCGACAATGACTTTATCAATCAGGCAGTTTTTGAGAAATATTGGCAAGTGCAATATTATTAATTAATCTCGCATATACTAAATTTATTACGATGTTTTTCTATCTCTTTAAAACTGTTGGCATGAACATTCTTATAAAATAAATAATATTAGAATTTAAAAATGACAATTACCTTTAGGTATTTTTTGAGGTTATATATACTTAATTTATTCAATAAGGATATAAATTTTTTACATTTTAAACAAATAAATTTATACCTTTTATTTTTACATCAATTTGAAAATATTTTTCAAATTTTGGAAATGGAAAATTTGTATTATTGTTATCAAGAACATTTTCTTCCAGGGCACATCCATTTCATTGATATCATCATTGTCTAACTTACTTACATCGATTTAGATATCCATTTGCGATGACATTTTAAATAATTTACAATAGATGATTTAGGTTTATAATACAAATTGAAAATATAAATTTCAATTTGAAAATTAAATAAAAAATCATAAAAATTATAATTAATTATATTATATTTTCATGTTTATAGTTACATTCATTATATTTTTAAAAGATAGCTAGCGCACTACTTAGCTACTTTCAAAAAAAGGAGCGCTAAAAAAAAAATTGGAAAAAAAGTAGAGCGCTTAGCTATCGCTACCAAAAAAGCAAGCGCAAAACAGTAGCGCGTTACTTTAACAACTCTGATGATCGGTATCATAACCTCTTGATACATTAAATGGACGCTGTACAATTGATACAATCGAAAAACGACATAAAAGGTGCCGTTCATGTAATTAGAATTTCACATGCACCAAGTACTAAAGGTCTGCAAAGTTATTTTTCGCGGCCCGCGAAAGAAATTTTAGTCCGAGCCTGAATTCAAATTTTTTTTAATCCTATCTTCAAGGGCCCTACCAGAAGCTTGAAGCGCTCTTTCACTGGTAGCCGAGGAAGCAGGAATAGCAAAAGAGTTAAAATACTTAAATTTAGAAAGTCGTTTTGACAAGTCTTTCACCAATTTAAGATTTGGTAAATGATTTTAAATATTGAAAATTTGAGGCAATTAAATAGATATATAAATATATTTTAATTAACCTGCTGTAATATGAAGCAAATAAAGTATGTAATAATAACAAAATAATTTGGTAAACGGATGTTATGTAAAATAATAATAATTGAAAATGACATGTTAAATGTGTTAGATAAAAAATGATATGTTATTTTAATTCTTTGGTCATGTACAACCCGTGCAGACCTCCATCAAACACCATAACATTATCATCATTATTGATTTCCCCTTATTTGTGGTGATGTATTCAGGTAATAATTTTACCCAAAGACTAAGGCAAAGAAGGCCGATTTTTTTTATTACAATCTGTCAATTGTACTTCTTATCGAAACAAATGAGGGCATTGCCTCTGGATACATTTCGAAAGCTGGTGTTTCCAGGCATCTCTGATTTAATCTCTTTCATAAATAGCGTGTCTATTTTCTATAGGATTTTCGGCTATAATACTTCTATAATCTGACGGGTTCTCAGATTTTCAAATACACCGATTCCATTCTGATGTTCGTGCAGACTAAAGGTTATAAATATCAGAAACCTGCAGAGGCACTATTTGCACGGCCCGGCCTAGCCCGGTTTTAAATTTTTTAGGCCCGGCCCGGATTTAAAAATTTCAGGCCCGGCTTGGAATTTTTTAAAATTATATTCGACCTGGTATATATAAAAATTCACCTATGAGGTATTTTACCATATTTTTCAGCGAGTATTATCGCTTATTATTTAAAAAATACATGTAAAAAGCTAATATTTTGAGCATATACTATATTTTATATTGCATTTATAAAAATAAAACTAATATTCATAAAAATGGTAATAATATTTTGAGCATATACTATATTTTATATTGCATTTAAAAAAAATAAAACTAATATTTAATTTTTAAAAATGGAAAATATTTTGAGAATATAATATATTGTATTTAATTTACTATTTAATTTATAAAATAAAAATAAATCGCTATTTAAAAAAATGCATGTATAATAAATAGTATTTTGAAAATATAATCTAATTGCAGAATATTAATATAATTTATTTTATAATATAAATTTTTAACAAAAGAAGATAATTGTAGTTTATAATATTGTAAAAAAAAATATTGAAAAATGTTGGATTAAAAACTTTCATGACTCAAGGTAAAATATAATAAATGCAATAAATATTTGACAGTTTGCAAAGTAAAAAACCAGCATGATTGACGAAACCCTATACTCAAGAAAGATATTAAAAATTCACAAATTATCATGAAGAAAGAGAAACATATCTATCTTTTTAGGTTGAAAATTACTTCTTCTTTCTTCAAGAATTCTCCCAGTAGTGGAAAAATTCCGCTCACAGCTTGCACTTGAAGCAGGAATTGCCAATCGTTTTGCCAATTTTGCTAAAATTGGAAATTCGCTTTGATGAGCCGCACACCACTCTAACAAATTATCCACCTTAAATGTTTCATCTATTTTTTTATTTATGTAATTATAATATTCATCATCGGGTATTGACATATTACCAGAAATACCATCGCCCCATTTGTCATAAAACGATTCAGTTTGTTTAACAACAGTCGTAATTTGACTAGTCGATGGTATTTCATTTACTTCTTGAGCCTCTTATTTAATATAATCTTTTATATAGTTTTCCGTCATCTTGCGATCTGTCCTTGACAACATACGTAATTGCTTGAATTTGGGACAGAGAAAAAGAGAAATAAAATGATACTTGTGTAAAACAAATTTTTCAATTAAAAATGCTTTATATTAAGTAAAATCAATTTTATTTCTCCTTCTTCGCTTTGAAAGGTATTACAAACTTCAAGAAGTTCATAATACCAAATTACCACTTTAAAAAGAGTACAAGAGTCCGACTGTAACTCAACAATAGCTCTGTTAAAATTCTCAAGAATTTTGACTAGATCCTGAAGGATCGGAAAGTCTATAATATAATA